CGTCTTCCAGCGCGATGCTGTCAAGGTGGATGTGTGCAAGGTGGTCGTCGAAGCTTTCATCCGGTCAGTACATAACACTAGAGTCTGGTCGTGTCGGTGTCAGACGGTCCCAGCATTCTTCTTTGAAATTCAGTCTAGCCGGCACCGTTTTGATCCTTTTTTTATAAGAAAGTTGGTTGCTACCAGCACCCAAGTTCTGAGTCCAGTGTCTGGTCAACTCGCGGGGAATTTGTTTTTCGAGCAAACAACTGTCTTTTGTTTACTGCATGATTGTACGTCATGACTTTTGATCAGTTTTTTATTGATTGGAATCCTTCCTCAGTATGAACATCTGCCATTCTCCCTTATGACCTCGCTGCAACTCGTCTTCGTCCTGTCGTGCGCCTCTTTTTTCCTGCGCCTGACTCATACGTCAAGCTGATGCTACCTATGTTCTTTCTCTGGCTGTTTTCCCCGCCTGTATCGAACAGGCATCAGGTTGATGCCACATCTGACCCTGTGACCATCAACGGCATGATGTACGTGTGCAAAGTCCTTCATGACTCGATCAAGTGAGTGATACTACAACTCTTGGCTCTGATGGACGGTGCTGTTGATCCATGGTGTTGTACCCCTGTCTCTCTGTCACTCTCTGTATCTGTGTGTGTGTGTGTCTCTCTCTCTCTCTCTCTCTCTCTCTCTCTCTCTCTCTCTCTCTCTCTCTCTCTCTCTCCTCTCTCTCTCTCTCTCTCTCTCTCTCTCTCTCTCTCTCTCTCTCTCTCTCTCTCTCTCCTTTCCCTGCCTCTCTTTCCCTCTCTCTCTCTAGCTTGCTCACTTGCTCACCTAACTGCTCATCCACACACTACCTCACCTGGCCACTCCACCACTCCCTCACCCGTGTGCCCCCCTCCCCCCCCCCCCCCCCCACACACACACACTCATATTCACTTACTCACCCGCCCAGCATGTCTGCCATTGACGCCGTCCCTTCTGTTACTGCTCTCCCCGATTTCCCGGCTGTTACTGCTATTGCTGGTGGTGTCATTGTTGCGGTAGCTGTTACTGCTGCTGCTGCTGCATTGTGTTGATGCTTATCGGCTCACTTCTCCTTGTTTGTTTCAGTGCGCTGAGTCTCCGTGACGAGGAGCGACAGATTTCCAACTACATCGTCAACTTCCTGAGACGGGTACGTGGCACTAGTACTGTAGCTGCAGTTCTACTCTCTCCGATAAGTGCTATTGCTTTGGAATTCCAGTGGATTGTGCTGATGATGCTGATGATGATGATGCTGCTCCTTATAGTGCCACGGTTTGAAATCTTTTATTCTCACGATGGCCTGTGGCCAATAAGAGAAACGGTTGTTGTTGTTGTTGTTGTTGTTGTTGTTGTTGTTGTTGTTGTCTGGGTGACGTACTTTGGAGTAGTACAGTCATTCTAGGTGTGTATGTGGGGGGGGGGGGGGGGGGGGGGGGGGGGCGTGCGGAGCGCGTGTGTGTGTGTGCGTGCGTGCATGCGTGTGTGTGCTCGTGTCAATCAGCTGTGTGATGTAGACCAGGCTAACATTATTGGCGGCCAATTCATCAGCCTTGCAAGCTGTTGAATGGTGTAATCCCAGCACAAGTAAGTTGCTATGTCTAACATAGCTGTTCGCTATCATCGCCTCCGCGATGGGCAGGTCTGAGTTTGAGTGTGCATGCATGCATGCATTTATGGGTCTACACGCATGTGTGCATGTACTATACAGGTCACACACGGTCGCGATCTCGAGGCTCACTTGAACTTCTTGGTGGACGCCAGGGCTGGTTTCGCCAACCTACAGCCTGTCGTTATGTTTCTCGTGCAGGTGAGAAGTGGACTGTCTGCTGTGAAACCGAAAAAATCAGTGTATGTACATAGTATTCTGACCAGCCAGTATTCAACATGTTCGAGTCACTTTGCTCGGCTGCAAATGGGGTCAGTTGGCCGGGTTCTGTTCATGTACAAACGTACATAATTATTATGCTGTCTGTGCACTCAATCTGCGGACTGAACTGTTCCGTCCTTTGTGGACTCGTCAGCCCAGCACAGAGAAAATCCGGCCGACCCTGATAGCAATGGAAAATAGATTTTCCAAAGGAAAAGAAGATGCATTGGTTGCGTTGACCATTAGTACAACCATGATTCCTGGTGTGTGTTGTACGAGAACTTGTTTGAATCTTCCTTCATTGTTATTTTCACTGTCGCATCTTCTTTTCCTTTATTGCAAATTCTCCGTATAAAGAGGTAATCAGCAGCATTCGGCTCTGTATATATTTTTCATCATGAATCTGGTGTCCAATTCACCACCACCACCGTTGCGCTCTGCAGCCGACCACGTGCATTCCCCACAACAGCAACAAGAGGTTCCTTCGGATTGAAAATTCCTTCTGACAGACAGATGTTTCGGTTCTTCCTGTTTTGGAACTGGTGGTTGAACAAAATTTTCAAAGCGAGATTAAAATCATGTGAGTTCGGCGCTGACAGATTTCTCTTTGTCGTATTGGTCCCGTTCTTTACCTATTCTGTCTTGTACAGCGTGTGAACAGTCTGGCTGTCGAGACACATCGCATGGTCAAAGGCAATCATTCCCGGAAGACGTCCGCCTTTGTCCGCGTGAGTACGGCGCTTTCTTTGTATCAGTGTCTGTCCGAGCGCAAAGATTTTCATATACTACTTTATCCCTAGAGAGTAGAGATGTTGTTGGAAAGGTCTTCAGCTCAGGTTGACAGAGTTATGGCAGTTTGTTTTAAAACTCATCTATCAGGAGCGTCGGAACCGGTGCGGCGGGTGCGGCCAAATCTGCACCAAAAATTTGATCCTGTGATTTCTGGAGCAGTGCATTATGGGCTATTTGGGCTCAAGTTTCCTAAAGTGTTCCCGGCTCTCCCGCCTTTTGATGGTCACACCGATGTAGAGTACTTTGAGACACCCCTGTCTATAAGCCACACTGTACAGTATACAATGTGCGGTGTGAGTGGAACACGTATAAAGGCTATGAATATGCATGTGTGTATGTGTTTATGGGGGGGGGGGGGGGGATGCTGTGTGGTGTAGGCCAGGCTAAAATCATTGGCAGTCAATTCATTAGCTTTGCAAACTATTGAATGGTGTAATCCCAGCTCAAGTTGCTATGTCTAACATAGCTGTTCATTATCATCGTTTCAGCAATGGGCACGTGTGTGTATTTGTATGTGTGTGTATTTGTGTGTGTGTGTGTGTGTGCACGTGTGCACGTGTGTGTGTGCGTGTTTGCGCTTGCATAGGCCTGTGCTGCATACACATTCATCACCATACCGGGAGTGACGGACGCCTTCATGAGGCTGAACCTGTATCTACTCTCTGGTCAAGTGGCACTTCTCAACCAAGCCATTACGCAAGGTGAGCAATGAGCCACTGATGGTACTGATGATGATACTGATGCTGTTGATGCTGATGCTGATGCTTCTGCTGCTGCTGTGGTTGTCTCTCCTTTTGCCACTGATGAGCAGGTTGTGCGTGCGTGCGTGCGTGCGTGCGCGTGTGTGTGTGTGTGTAGGTGACTCATTCTTCAAAGCGGCAATCAGCACCCTGTCCGAGATTCCTAAGACACAAGGTATTGAATTCGCCTACATTATACAGTGTTATTTACCAAACAACCCTACTTCTTCTCCTCCTCCTTCTCCTTCTCTTCCTCCCTCCCTCCTTCCCCCCCCCCCCCCCTCTCCTTCTCCTCTCTTCCTTCTCCTCCTCCTCCTTCTCCTCCTCCCTCCTCCCTCCCTCCCTCCCTCCTCCTCTTTCTCAGCAATCAGGCCAGATAATCTGGATGACTGACTGGATGTAAGGATGGCAGGGTTAGGGATGTATGGATGACTGACTAGATGTAAGGATGGCAGGGTTAGGGATGTAAGGATGGCAGGGTTAGGGATGTATGGATGACTGACTGGATGTAAGGATGGCAGGGTTAGGGATGTATGGATGATTGACTGGATGTAAGGATGGCAGGGTTAGGGATGTATGGATGACTGACTGGATGTAAGGATGGCAGGGTTAGGGATGTATGGATGCCTGACTGGATGTAAGGATGGCAGGGTTAGGGATGTATGGATGACTGACTGGATGTAAGGATGGCAGGGTTAGGGATGTATGGATGACTGACTGGATGTAAGGATGGCAGGGTTAGGGATGTATGGATGACTGACTGGATGTAAGGATGGCAGGGTTAGGGATGTATGGATGACTGACTGGATGTAAGGATGGCAGGGTTAGGGATGTATGGATGACTGACTGGATGTAAGGATGGCAGGGTTAGGGATGTATGGATGACTGAATGGATGTAAGGATGGCAGGGTTAGGGATGTATGGATGACTGACTGGATGTAAGGATGGCAGGGTTAGGGATGTAAGGATGGCTGACTGGATGTAAGGATGGCAGGGTTAGGGATGTAAGGATGGCTGACTGGATGTAAGGATGGCAGGGTTAGGGATGTAAGGATGGCAGGGTTAGGGATGTATGGATGACTGACTGGATGTAAGGATGGCAGGGTTAGGGATGTATGGATGACTGACTGGATGTAAGGATGGCAGGGTTAGGGATGTATGGATGACTGACTGGATGTAAGGATGGCAGGGTTAGGGGTGTATGGATGACTGACTGGATGTAAGGATGGCAGGGTTAGGGATGTATGGATGACTGACTGGATGTAAGGATGTCAGGGTTAGGGATGTATGGATGTCTGACTGGATGTAAGGATGGCAGGGTTAGGGATGTATGGATGACTGACTGGATGTAAGGATGGCAGGGTTAGGGGTGTATGGATGACTGACTGGATGTAAGGATGGCAGGGTTAGGGATGTATGGATGACTGACTGGATGTAAGGATGGCAGGGTTAGGGATGTATGGATGACTGACTGGATGTAAGGATGGCAGGGTTAGGGATGTATGGATGACTGACTGGATGTAAGGATGGCAGGGTTAGGGATGTATGGATGACTGACTGGATGTAAGGATGGCAGGGTTAGGGATGTATGGATGACTGACTGGATGTAAGGATGGCAGGGTTAGGGATGTATGGATGACTGACTGGATGTAAGGATGGCAGGGTTAGGGATGTATGGATGTCTGACTGGATGTAAGGATGGCAGGGTTAGGGATGTAAGGATGGCTGACTGGATGTAAGGATGGCAGGGTTAGGGATGTAAGGATGGCTGACTGGATGTAGGGATGGCAGGGTTAGGGATGTAAGGATGGCAGGGTTAGGGATGTATGGATGACTGACTGGATGTAAGGATGGCAGGGTTAGGGATGTATGGATGCCTGACTGGATGTAAGGATGGCAGGGTTAGGGATGTATGGATGACTGACTGGATGTAAGGATGGCAGGGTTAGGGATGTATGGATGACTGACTGGATGTAAGGATGGCAGGGTTAGGGATGTATGGATGACTGACTGGATGTAAGGATGGCAGGGTTAGGGATGTATGGATGACTGACTGGATGTAAGGATGGCAGGGTTAGGGATGTATGGATGACTGACTGGATGTAAGGATGGCAGGGTTAGGGATGTATGGATGACTGACTGGATGTAAGGATGGCAGGGTTAGGGATGTATGGATGACTGACTGGATGTAAGGATGGCAGGGTTAGGGATGTATGGATGACTGACTGGATGTAAGGATGGCAGGGTTAGGGATGTATGGATGACTGACTGGATGTAAGGATGGCAGGGTTAGGGATGTATGGATGACTGACTGGATGTAAGGATGGCAGGGTTAGGGATGTATGGATGACTGACTGGATGTAAGGATGGCAGGGTTAGGGATGTATGGATGACTGACTGGATGTAAGGATGGCAGGGTTAGGGATGTATGGATGACTGACTGGATGTAAGGAAGGCAGGGTTAGGGATGTATGGATGACTGACTGGATGTAAGGATGGCAGGGTTAGGGATGTATGGATGTCTGACTGGATGTAAGGATGGCAGGGTTAGGGATGTATGGATGACTGACTGGATGTAAGGATGGCAGGGTTAGGGATGTATGGATGACTGACTGGATGTAAGGATGGCAGGGTTAGGGATGTATGGATGACTGACTGGATGTAAGGATGGCAGGGTTAGGGATGTATGGATGACTGACTGGATGTAAGGATGGCAGGGTTAGGGATGTATGGATGACTGACTGGATGTAAGGATGGCAGGGTTAGGGATGTATGGATGACTGACTGGATGTAAGGATGGCAGGGTTAGGGATGTAGGGATGACTGACTGGATGTAAGGATGGCAGGGTTAGGGATGTATGGATGACTGACTGGATGTAAGGATGGCAGGGTTAGGGATGTATGGATGACTGACTGGATGTAAGGATGGCAGGGTTAGGGATGTATGGATGACTGACTGGATGTAAGGATGGCAGGGTTAGGGATGTAGGGATGTCTGACTGGATGTAAGGATGGCAGGGTTAGGGATGTATGGATGACTGACTGGATGTAAGGATGGCAGGGTTAGGGATGTATGGATGACTGACTGGATGTAAGGATGGCAGGGTTAGGGATGTATGGATGACTGACTGGATGTAAGGATGGCAGGGTTAGGGATGTATGGATGACTGACTGGATGTAAGGATGGCAGGGTTAGGGATGTAGGGATGTCTGACTGGATGTAAGGATGGCAGGGTTAGGGATGTATGGATGACTGACTGGATGTAAGGATGGCAGGGTTAGGGATGTATGAATGACTGACTGGATGTAAGGATGGCAGGGTTAGGGATGTATGGATGACTGACTGGATGTAAGGATGGCAGGGTTAGGGATGTATGGATGTCTGCCTGGATGTAAGGATGGCAGGGTTAGGGATGTATGGATGACTGACTGGATGTAAGGATGGCAGGGTTAGGGATGTATGGATGTCTGACTGGATGTAAGGATGGCAGGGTTAGGGATGTATGGATGACTGACTGGATGTAAGGATGGCAGGGTTAGGGATGTATGGATGACTGACTGGATGTAAGGATGGCAGGGTTAGGGATGTATGGATGACTGACTGGATGTAAGGATGGCAGGGTTAGGGATGTATGGATGACTGACTGGATGTAAGGATGGCAGGGTTAGGGATGTATGGATGACTGACTGGATGTAAGGATGGCAGGGTTAGGGATGTATGGATGTCTGACTGGATGTAAGGATGGCAGGGTTAGGGATGTATGGATGACTGATTGGATGTAAGGATGGCAGGGTTAGGGATGTATGGATGTCTGACTGGATGTAAGGATGGCAGGGTTAGGGATGTATGGATGACTGACTGGATGTAAGGATGGCAGGGTTAGGGATGTATGGATGACTGACTGGATGTAAGGATGGCAGGGTTAGGGATGTATGGATGATTGACTGGATGTAAGGATGGCAGGGTTAGGGATGTATGGATGACTGACTGGATGTAAGGATGGCAGGGTTAGGGATGTATGGATGTCTGACTGGATGTAAGGATGGCAGGGTTAGGGATATATGGATGACTGACTGGATGTAAGGATGGCAGGGTTAGGGATGTATGGATGTCTGACTGGATGTAAGGATGGCAGGGTTAGGGATGTATGGATGACTGACTGGATGTAAGGATGGCAGGGTTAGGGATGTATGGATGACTGACTGGATGTAAGGATGGCAGGGTTAGGGATGTATGGATGACTGACTGGATGTAAGGATGGCAGGGTTAGGGATGTATGGATGACTGACTGGATGTAAGGATGGCAGGGTTAGGGATGTATGGATGACTGACTGGATGTAAGGATGGCAGGGTTAGGGATGTATGGATGACTGACTGGATGTAAGGATGGCAGGGTTAGGGATGTATGGATGACTGACTGGATGTAAGGATGGCAGGGTTAGGGATGTATGGATGACTGACTGGATGTAAGGATGGCAGGGTTAGGGATGTATGGATGACTGACTGGATGTAAGGATGGCAGGGTTAGGGATGTATGGATGTCTGACTGGATGTAAGGATGGCAGGGTTAGGGATGTATGGATGACTGACTGGATGTAAGGATGGCAGGGTTAGGGATGTATGGATGACTGACTGGATGTAAGGATGGCAGGGTTAGGGATGTATGGATGACTGACTGGATGTAAGGATGGCAGGGTTAGGGATGTATGGATGACTGACTGGATGTAAGGATGGCAGGGTTAGGGATGTATGGATGACTGACTGGATGTAAGGATGGCAGGGTTAGGGATGTATGGATGACTGACTGGATGTAAGGATGGCAGGGTTAGGGATGTATGGATGACTGACTGGATGTAAGGATGGCAGGGTTAGGGATGTATGGATGACTGACTGGATGTAAGGATGGCAGGGTTAGGGATGTAGGGATGTCTGACTGGATGTAAGGATGGCAGGGTTAGGGATGTATGGATGACTGGATGGATGTAAGGATGGCAGGGTTAGGGATGTATGGATGACTGACTGGATGTAAGGATGGCAGGGTTAGGGATGTATGGATGACTGACTGGATGTAAGGATGGCAGGGTTAGGGATGTATGGATGACTGACTGGATGTAAGGATGGCAGGGTTAGGGATGTATGGATGACTGACTGGATGTAAGGATGGCAGGGTTAGG